ACCCCTTTAAAGTTCTTTTTTGACCCCTATAGGAGTTTTTTTTTTTTACTTACTTCCATAATATTTGAGGGAGAGGGGCACAACAATAAAATCCTGCTTAGGGCACCCATTTGGCCAGCAGTGGCCCTGAATACTCCATCTGGATATACATGAGAACCATGAGGTCTTATTTAAAACAAGAATTAATTAAGACCCCTATAGTAGTTTTTTTTTTTTTTTTACTTCCATAATATTTGAGGGAGAGGGGCACAACAATAAAATCCTGCTTAGGGCACCCATTTGGCCAGCAGTGGCCCTGAATACTCCATCTGGATATACATGAGAACCATGAGGTCTTATTTAAAACAAGATATAATTAATTAAAACTCACATTAAACAATCAATTAAAACCACTAAGCTGACAGACTGACTGGACGCAACTAATCTTTTGGATTTTATCACCAGGTTTGCGTACTTAGAACATTAAATGAGAAAAAAATAAATCAATATCCATAGCTGTCTAATCTGGTTAATCATGAATGCTTTTCTCAAATAATGATTTTCATTAATCAACTCCACATGGAAAAGATGGACAAGCAGCCGCCCATCCCCCCATGCTAACGGAACACAAGATGACAGGAAGTCATTTACGATTATATTTTTATTACATTGAGATGCTCACACTGAGATGGCATGCTGGAAAGGAGGCGTTTTATTCACTCCAAAATAAAAAGCAAAAACACTCTGAACAAGCTTTTAAGCCACATAAAATGTCCCAGGGTCAAAAGCAGACCCATACAGAATGCTCTTTATTTTGGATAATTTGACTGATGTGTTCAGAAACCAAGTCTAGAATTCCTTTAAACACATTTGACGGTTTAAATCCGTAAAAAGGGTAAAAAAAAAAAGAGTACATATTACAGAAATAATATACTTAAAATAACATACTTAAGTGTAAATTGAATTTAATGTTTTTGGATGCTTAATTGTATGTTATGTACAATTAATTAAAAAATGTATTATAGTTTAAATTTATCTTAAATGCAATTAGTTGAATTAAGAGTGATTTTTAGACCCACTTTTGTAGGACTTAAGTACATCTCTAAATGTAATTTCATAATTCTATTGCTTTTGAAACATGGTAAAAGTGTACTGCTGAATGTACTGGCAAGCATTTATAATAAACTAAAATATACTTTTGTATTTTACAAATTACACATTTGTAATGATGAAGTAACAATTTTGTACATTTAAAACATTAATTTGCTTTTGTTTTTAATTTGTATTAACTAAATGTAATAACAAACACTACAGTTAAAAGTAATTTACATGTGCTTTAGCGCGATAGTCAACACAAAAAACCTTTTATTTTTTTATTTAAGCTTTTATTTTGACATTATTACAAAGTGCACTTTTTTAAAAGTATACTTAAAGGCAGAGTAAGTGATTTTTCAAAAACACTTTAGAAAACTGATTCGGGCCGAATCGCAAAACAAACTTGTAGCCAATCAGCAATAAGGGGCGTGTCTACTCGTGATGTGGAGGAGAGCGCGTTCAGTGCATTGGACGGACATTAGCCGAGCCGAGCGACAGAAAGATAGAGATGGCGGATAAAAAACAAAAGAGGAAAACGTCTGCGGAACGATAAGGCAAGAAGTAGGACCCGTGTAAATATCGGATCAGCTTTCCAGCGCTGGAGAGAACTCAAGGAGCGGAGGCCTGCGATCGGACGCCGAGGTTGCTTTGTTTCTTCTCAATAGGTGAGTAACACCGTGTCTACAACAGCTAAAGTCTGCCTACACTGGACGCGATCAAACGACCGTTGAAAACCATTTGAAATTTGTGTCAGCACGTCATAAATAGAACCCGGCAGCAGTTTTCTGTCGGGGATTTGTTGCGCCGCGCCGCTCACGTTTTTAGATACGGTGTAACATTGGTTTTGCTTTGTTTCACAGAACTAATTCGTTGCCTGGGTTGCGTACGTATATGTGGGGCGGAGCTATCAAAATAGGGGCAAGACCCTTTTGGGGTAGGGGCGTGTTTGTTTTGGTGATTTCAAATATCAACATTGGCTACCAGAAATCCCTTACTCTGCCTTTAAGTGTGTTAAGAAACATAGTAATTGAAGTGTACTTTAAGTACACTTAAGTGGCCTTTTATTTAATTAATATTTTATTACCTGCAAATACATTGTTTTTTTTTATATTCTAAGTAGTACACATGCAATACAGTTAAGCGCACTTCTTTTTCACAAGGGATGAGATGAAGTACCCATCATTTTTAAAGCATTCACTGGATTTTATTCACTGGATTATCCAAAATAGGGATTACCATGGTTCTTCACTATATAAACAATTTTTCCCATTGCATTTACAGGAAAAAAAACAACAACAAAAAACTATATTGTCAATTATACCTTCATAATATGACATTACTCAATCAGTAATTCTTGGCCTGGCTAAGTCCAGGTCTTACAACTCACCCTTTCCCCGCTTCCATGTAGCGTATTGTTAATGCACTTAGCTATATTGGGGTTTCAGGTCCAGAGTGCACTACCCACCTCTTGAGTCTCATTAACATTCATAAAGGATTAGCTCTGATCTAGGGTGATGTCATCACATTAAACGCCTTGGATCTTGGCGGTTTGAAGGGTGGAATGATTACCTTATTCTTCCTGGCTTTTTCTAGTTTGCGCTAATGAAAACAGCCCTTTGATTACCTATCTACGCTTCTTGATTCTGTCTAATGAGAATGTACCGAAATGATTTCCCCATCACTTTAAACCAGCGCCAGATGTATTCAAATGTGATTTCAGCTGAACACATTTTGAACAGAGAGGATTTAAATCACGCACACCTCCCTCTTCCTGCTCTCGCTTGCTCTCTGATGACACACGACAACAGGAAGTGCACTCCTTCAAACAAAACCTTCTCTCTCACTGAGCTTTTGATAACTTGCAGCTGACAGCCACCTAAAAAAAACACAGTCTAGGAGTCTGCGGGCTGTCATTAGCCAGTGCTTGATGTCTTACAAACTATAATTTATTACAATAAAATAATATCCAGCTCATAAAAGACCAGTGTGACATTTCCTACAATCTTGTCTTTTTTTTCACTGAGGTTTCTGAGGAGAGAATAAACCATAGTCTGGTTGAAGTATACGCTTGTAGTGTATGTATGAGAACTGCCAGTGACGGTTTAATTGCATGCACTTTCTGCATGGTTTTAGCACCTTATTCACTAAATAAATTATGCAAATCTGGTTAGTGCTCACCGCCTTCATTTCCTTCAATGATGGAGTAGACAATGGTCTGGTTTATGGCAGCCGCCAAGATGACTCCTGCGACCATTCCCACGGGGGCGTTTTCGCTGACCGGAGAGAACCTGCACATACACGGTGCACTGCATTAATGATGAATCACAAATCACACACACAATAAAACGGTGGTTCTGCTGGGTCACACTGCAAATATGCACCACTGCGTTAGAACTTTACTGGGCATGTAAAAGTAAAATGGAGCAAAAGTAAAATATGACAAAAACTAAAATATAATATTCAGTACAGTTCCATTTTATTGATCAAATGTGACAGTAAGGACTTTTATAATGTTACAAAAGATTTCTATTTCAAATAATCCACAAATATACTAAGCAGAACAACTGTTTTTTAACACTGATAATAATAACTGTTATTACTGTTTTTTGTTACACAGCAATAAAGGATGCATATCACTCTGTCCCACGAGCAGCTTTGGGGCTCTCTGATCACTGTTTGGTTCATCTAATACCGACCTACAGGCAGAAACTGAAATCAGCTAAACCTGTATTAAGGACTGTAAAAAGATGGACTAATGAAGCAGAGCAGGATTTACAAGCTTGTTTTGACCTCACTGATTGGAGCATCTTTGAAGCTGCAGCCACCGATCTGGACGAGCTCACAGAGACTGTAACATCTTATATCAGTTTCTGTGAAGACATGTGCATTCCTACCAGGACTCATTTAACCTACAACAACGACAAACCATGGTTCACTGCAAAACTCAGACAGCTCCGTCAGGCCAAAGAAGAAGCTCACAGGAAGGGGAATAATGTCTTGTATAAACAGGCTAAATACACACTGGAAAAGGAGATCAGAGTGGCAAAGAGGAATTATTCTGAAAAAATAAGGACTCAGTTCACTTCCAGCGACTCGGCATCACTGCGGAAAAGTCTAAAAGAAACCACCAATAACAA